TGTATACATATATGTAAAATTACTTAGTCATTTTATATATGAAGCTGAAAAATTTAACCTGCATTATTTTTTTCTTTATTATTTTTAATTTTTTAGTTGTATATGAGTATTTCGCATGTGATTTGATGAAAATATAATAATTATTGATGAAAATAAATTTATTAAAAAAAAATATTTGTAATTACATATAATTAATATATCAATCAACTAAATATTACAAAATTTTACCGAAAACTTCATTGTAAACAATATTTGCAGTTGTATTTAAAATAATATTTTTCCTATCGCATATTAAAATCTTAAGACCTTTTCTATTTTTAACTCCAGAGATAGTCCTATGTGTCCATGATAAAAAAAATAAGCTTTGACAAATACAAACTAACATTAGACAAAGTTTGACATTGACTTTTATTTATGGTTATTGCAAATTTTATTATCGAAGTTGGAACTTGAGAGACCTTCTTTTGTCTAATGGTGTTGTAACCATGCGTGGTATCAAAACACTTTCACCAAAATTGTTTGTAAATATGACCTCTGCTTCAATCACGTTAGAAGCTATCTTATAAACTAATAGTCTGGTACCATTATAAAGCTCATAAGTTATGGAAATATTTAAATATATATTAAAGGAGAATCAAAATCTTCAATGAAGACAAATTATAAATGACTAAGAATAAATAATAAAACAAAAGTATACTTACTCAATATCCCCAAGATGTGCAATCACTTTCCTATGATGCACACTATCCCTGTAAGCTTCCTCTGAATCATCAATCTCATTAACTCTTCCCATGACATCTAAATAGTTGAAAAATAATTATCAACGATCCCACAAAGTATATGAATATTATAAGCATTATTTGTCACATTATTATAAGTACCTATAGAAAGAATGACATACCAAACAAAATTTGATCATCAACTTTATAAGACAACACATCACCAAATGAGATAAATGTAAACCCAAATTGATGAATAGACTCACAAAGATGAATGGAAGTTGATGACTTAAAGTTGATATTAAAAGTATGGCTAATACAATGGTAATCTCTCGTGTTTTGCCCCACTCTAAAGTTATCCAAAACAATTATTTTTAAAATATAGTAAATATTATTATTCTTATCTAAGGTATTCTATATTGATTTAATTTTAGATTATGCAATATTAGAGTAATTATAGGAAAAATATTCAATTTCTTTGGAAAATTATGAAATGATTACATTATTACAATTAAGATAAAATATTTTGATATTTTAATTGATAAATTTTATTATTTTTAATCATTATGGGTGCTATTAGCGTGGGTGTCCATTATTTTATAGCAAAATATATAAATATAGTCATCAAAAGAATTATAGGATATACAATAATAATTAATAAAGATCATTATTCTTGTTTAAGGTATTCTATTTTGATTTAATTTATTTTGTGATTTTATTTCTAATTATGCAGCGTTAAAGTAATTATAGGGAAAAAACTTTCTCCATCTCTAATTCAAAGCCAAACGTGAAACTTTTAATTCATTTGACTTCTTCATGGAAGAAATTAAGAGAGGAAAGACATGAAAAAAAAATAATTTAACCAATAACATCTATGTCAGCCTTTTTGTTTTGTAGAAATACATTTGAAACACTTTACTTTTTAGATGATCCCTATAGAATAAAAATATTATAATAATCTGTGTGTTTATGTTTTTTTTTCTAGTTATTTTGTTCTTTATTTCTATTTGAGAGAATCTTTAGGAAAAAGAATAAAATTTTTGTTGAGTGTTAAGCCTAATTAGAAAGCATATGATTTAATATTAAGTTCAAACTATTTGTTGTTTTTATTTAAATTATTTTATTATATCTCTAATTCAAAGATTTTTTTTATTATTAAAAAGTTTTCAAAAAGAATACTAATTTATTACTCCATAATTTTTTTGGACAATTATTTTCTATTTTATTGTATCCCTAATTTTAAGATTTTTTTATTATTAAAAATTTTTCAAAAAGAATTATAGAGTATAACTATAATAATTAGTAAATATTATTATTCTTGTTTAAGGTATTATATTTTGATTTAATTTTATTTATGATTTTATTTCTAATTATGCATCGTTAGAGTAATTATAAAAAAAAAAAACTCTCTTGTGTTAAGCCTAATTAAAAAGTATATTTAGTTTAAATTATTTTTTATTTTTTATTTAAATTATTTTATTGTATCTCTAATTTAAAAGTTTTTTTACTATTAGAAAGTTTTTAAAAAGAATTATAGGGTATATTATAATAATTAATAAATATTATTATTCTTATTTAAAATATTATATTTTGATTTATTTTTATTTCTGATCATACACCATTAGAGTAACCATGAAATAAAAATTTTCTCATGTTAAACCTAATTAGAAAGTATATTATATATTATACGAATTAATATTTAGTTCAAATAATATGTTTTTTTTATTTAAATTATTTTATTGTATCTCTAATTTGAATATTTTTTATTATTAGAAAGTTTTCAAAAAGAAATATTAAATATTAGTTCATAATTTTTCTGAACAATTATTTTTTATTTTATTGTATCTAAAATTTGAAGATTTTATTATTATTAGAAAGTTTTCAAAAAGAATTATAGGATTTACTATAATAATTAGTAAATATTATTATTCTTGTTTAAAATGTTCTATTTTAATTTATTTTTATTTTTGATTATGTACTGTTAGAGTAATTATAAAAAAATAAGCTTAATTCAAAAACGTATAATATAAAATATAATTTAATATTTAGTTTGAATTATTTTTTGTTTTTTATTTAAATTATTTTATTATATCTCTAATTCAAATATTTTTTTTATTATTAGAAAATTTTTTAAAAAAAATATTAACTATTACTCTATAATTTTTCTGTATAATTATTTTAAAAATATTCATTGAGATATTGATCACGTTTTGTTTAGATAAAAAGAGAAATTTTCATTATGAAAATTTTAAATTTCTTTTCAATTAGTAATTATATAAATTAATATAATTAAACTAATTAGTTAGCTTCTATCATATTTAAATTATTTTATTTTTATTTTTTATTTATCTTTAATAGAAAGAAGATTAAAAACTAATCAATTATTGGATATTGTGAAAATATGGATGGTCACAAGCATGAGACCTAATAAAGCATGATATACTTCAAATGGTGAAATAATTATGGTGAGAAAGCAATAATTTTTAAATTGTGGTATTTGAAATAAAAAATTTAGTAATGTTTTTCATGTCTAAATTATTATAAAAAAAATATAATTGGTATAATATTTCTTTGCATATTATAACAGTTTAAAAATACCTAAATTGTTATATTTTTATTTTATTCGTCTTAAACTTTTTATAGAAAGATTTGAAGAATGTAAGTGATATATATAAAGAGAACATTTCTCCATTATAGATGCTATTGGTTGAACATTTTGTATTTGTATTAGAGAAAAAAATCAAATATTTACTTAATTTAGGAAGTGCAGTAAAAAAATTGACTGATCTCAACTTGATTTGATTAATACTTAAAGATTGGCTTTTGAATATCAACAAAAGTAAATAAAATAAGATTTTCTTAAAAAAGAGATAAAACATCATTCAATTATTTTATAAAAAGAATTATTATTCAATAAATTATTTAGGGACTGACGTGCTCCAATTATTAATATAAGTTTTTTAATTTGTTATTTAAAGTTTATTATTTTTATATTTCTATCGTAACTTGATCAATCAGTCTATATTTATTTACATTAACTATTTGTTTTCTTTCTTTTGCTTACTTGTAGGATCAAATCGTATGAGAATATTACTTTTTGATATATTTTTTACTATTTAGCTCAACACTTAAATATGTATTTTTAATTTAAAATATTTTGATTTGATTTTGAATTTTCAAGTATAACATTTTATTAGATATTTATTATATTTTAATTAGTTTATCTTTGAACATATGGTGGATAATTAATTTAAAATATCACATATGAATTAATTGATCATTTGTCTGCTTAGTTGATATTTAATTTATTAAAAATAAAATATCATAAATTATTTTTAAAATAAATTTATTATAAAATTTATTAATTTAAAATTATTTATAGTAATGATGAGTAAATTAGTCATTATTTTAAAATAACAATAATTAATAAGTTACATAATTATAATATATGTATTTGATATTAATATTCATACATATTAGTGACTTTAATTTTTATTACAGTAAATACTTTATTTTAGTGACTACAAAATATTATCTTGACTGTTAGCTAGGATAGATGACCAAATTAAATATGATCATTAAATTATTTTAATAACAAATTTTAACACTTTAAAGATAATTTTATAATCATAATAAACACAATTTCTTGCGGTGATTAGTACTACAGGCCACGGCTGTTTTCTCCATTTCAAATTGAACAATCTTTAACCACGAAGTAATTAAACAAATATGTATCATTATCTATGAATTATTACAAGAATCAGAGAGGGAAATGCAGATTTAATGAATCGATCGTGGCAAGCCATGTTTTGCTCCTAATAGTGCTAATCACTACCACCTTTTTGTTCTAAAATAGTGAAAGTATAATCAAGGCGCCATCTCATTCACAGAAACTTCCAGATATTTCGTTTTCAATAACTATTCACGAACACGCAAGCATCATGCACCCAACAAATTTGGGGTTGCCATTGTTCGTTTGACCTTTAATTTATTCACTGAACAAAATCCCAATTTAATAGTTTCATTGCCAGACCATAGTTAAGGAACACCCTTGATGACAGCTCAAAAAAACATATGAAACAATTTAATTACAATGTACCCACTTTATAGGATGTTCAAGGCTTGGTAACATAGTACTTTAGAACTCTACTATCTCCATTAGAAGCACGTTGCATATATCGATCTGCATATTAGGTTACAGTTTTTATTTTAGTTTATACATGTAACCCAAATTGCGTTCTGGATTTGGATTTTCTATTTACAGTCTCAGCCAAGAAAACAATGAGGGAGGTTGTGGTTGTCGCAATTGCTGCTACACTTGGGAATCTGCTAACCGGATGGGATAGTTCCACCATTGCAGGTGTATATATAATTACTTTTATGACATCTTTTTATCGTCTAATTATATTGTAATTATTGTCAATGCTTAGATATACTAATGTGCATTTTTAATTCCTTAAATATCTCAAATTCTTTAGCATCATTTTCATATTTTCATTTGATTTCCCAAGTGTTAGCCTTCTCTCTCGCTCCCTCTCTCTTTTAAGCTCTACGCAGGAAATAAATGAATTTAACTCCTTTGAAGTGAAGAGATGTGTAAAGTGAAAAAGAGTTTATTTATGGTTAATTTAAATTAAAGTATTTTGTAAACATAGTTAATTTTGGCATTGAAATTATTGACCGAGTTCAACAACAGTAACGTGTGATTCATGTATTCGATCATCTAAAGTAGTAGGATAAACTTGGTGGTTGGTGTATTGGATATTGTTAATAGAACTGAAGAAAGATGTGGCTAAATTGGTGCAGGGGGCATGGCTTACATCAAAGAAGAATTCAACTTGGAAGCAGATCCAACACTTGAGGGGTTAATTGTGTCCATGTCATTTCTCACTGGCACTGTTGTGACAATATTCTCCGGCACAGTTTCTGACATGCTTGGAAGGCGTCCAATGCTAATAACATCATCGGCTATGTTTTTCATAAGTGGTTTGGTGATGTCATGGGCTCCTAATGTTGCTGTGGTTTTGCTGTCAAGGCTATTGGATGGTATTGCTATTGCATTAGCTCTAACACTTACTCCTCTTTACATATCAGAGATTGCACCACCTGATATCAGAGGTACACTCAACACTCTGCCACAGTTTTCAAGCTCTGGGGGAATGTTTTTGGCATATATCATGGTGTTCTCTTTGTCCTTGACCGACTCGCCAAGTTGGAGAGCTATGCTTGGTGTTATTTCCATTCCTTCTGTTGCTTATTTTTTTCTGGCTGTGTTCTATCTCCCTGAATCTCCTCCTTGGCTTGTAAGTAAAGGTAGAATCCATGAGGCCAAGAAGGTTCTGCAAAGAATTCGAGAGGTTGATGATGTTTCAGGTGATGCCAAATTTTCTTCTTTTGCTACTCTTTAACAAAGATTTAATCTTCCCTTGCTTGATCAACATATGGCATTCGATATCAATAATGCTTGAAAAATATTGTTGACTTTGAATTTGAATTATATAAATGATTTTTATTATGATGAAAGATAAATTATAAAAAAAACAATTGAAATTAATAGCTCAGTTTATTAGGTAGATTATGAAAAAAAATGGTTTGCTTTTGAGAAACACTAAAAGACTAGATAGTTTAAATAATTGAAAAAAATCAGTACCTGACAATTAAATCAACAATATTAGTAGCTTTGACTTAGGCATACTTGTTTAAGATACTCATGTTATTTCTTTCTTGTTAGTATTTTTTTTTTACTCCATATTATTTTTAAAAATCCTTATTTTCTTATTTTTATGAAAATACTACATAAAGAATTAATGAAGTTATTATAAAATATTTAATAATACATGCATAAATATAATTATTCTGATTTAGAATTATTCGAATCTGTATCGTATTCTTTTAAAAACTTATATCTGTCTCATGTCGGTGTTTTCCTATGTTCAAGACGCTAAAGAGTAACGTTATTCTCACTTCATATTTTTAAAACAAATTTTACAACAATGAAAGATGTAAAACGAGAAAAAAAAAAGTATATAAAATCGACAATGTAACAAAACGACATAAAAAAATATATTTTAAGTATTATTTTTTAATTAAAATTAATATTTCACTATAGTAAAAGTTTACATATAAAATTGTTGCAAGTTATCAAAATAAAATTTCAATTTTAATTAAAAATAACACAAGAACACTTAAACATAAAGAACTAACTTTTGTCCAAAATAATATATATCATAAAAAAGTTCTATAAAAAACAAAATAAAAATAACATTGATCTATGTTGAATACTCGCAATATGTGATGTGATTTGGAGTTTGCGTTGATATACGCAGGGGAACTGGCTTTGCTAGCTGAGGGAATGAATCCAGGGGGTGAATCGACGACGGTAGAAGAGTACATAGTGGCTCCTGCGAGTGACCTCATTGCAAACAAGGAAGCAGGGAGGGAATGCATAAAGCTATATGGACCCAACCAAGGAGTTTCAATGCTTGCTCAACCAGTGAGTGGACAAGGTAGCATGATTTCCCGCAGCATGTTAACGTTGTCTCGCCAAGGAAGCATAGTTGCCCAAGCTGCTGCAAATCTCAAGGATCCTTTAGTTAACCTCTTTGGCAGCATGCATGAGAATATTGCCCCAGAATCTGGTGGTTCAAGAAGTACACTAATTCCCAAAGTGGCAAATATTTCCAACATGGGAGAGCCAGATCAGAGCCCCTTTGGCACCAGTGACAACTTGCACGCTCCATTACTTGCAGCCCAAGGAAGTGTTTTGGGGAGCAATAGCAACCTGAGAGGTAGCTATGTTGGGGAAGTGCCTAAGAACACAAACATTGGTGGAGGTTGGCAATTGGTTTATAAATCTGCTGAGGGTGGGAAAAAGGACCTCCAAAGAGTTTATTTGCGTGCGGATCCCACTTTAGTGTCACAGCAAGGTTCATTTGTTTCTGGTTATGGCTTGCATGCTGACGTTGGTGAAACTTTTCCAGCAGCTGCACTTGTCAGCCAGTCAGTTCTCAGCACTAAGGATATGAAGGTTAAATCAGAAATTGCTGCAAAACGTACAGGTTGGGGAGGTTTGTTAGATCCGGGAGTCAAGCGTGCATTGATTGTTGGAATTGGACTACAAGTTCTTCAACAGGTAAACCAAGTTGACATTAGTATAATATGGATAAACTTTTCAATGAATACTTCTGAGAGAAGAAAATAAGAAAGTAAAATATAAACTTTTTTAGAAGATTTTCATTTAACTTCTGCAAAAGTTAAAATGTATAAGTTAATTTTAATGGGAGAAGTTTGATTCACTTTACCTTCTTATTTTTAACTCAAATAAGTACCGGATGCGAAGTTCATCTAGGCCATTCTACTGGCTAGTATTAGAGTGTTGTTTAATATTAGGATGATGTTTTAATCACTATGTCCGCAAACATTCTATAACAGTTAATGAGCGTTAGGTGTAGCTTAACTAGTAGGATTAAGCGATGTAGAAAAGCAGTCTTGTTTTCGTATGGTCCTTTATTAGTAAGTTATGTACAAAGGCTTAGATGCTCTGCCTTTGGAATGGGCCAAGCTCTCCACCCCTGAACTTTTCTTCACCAGAATTAATAAATCTAACACAATCATAATTCTTCTTGTGGATTTCCTTACCCACCTATATAGGTAGAGTGCTATAACCAATCCAAATACCCTTGAATACATTATAACATTGCAATCTCACCATTCTTTCAGTGTTTCTCTACAGCTACTCTCAAGGACTTTTTACTATTACCAAAAGGGACATTATGATAAATAATATGTTAAAAAATTTGGTTTTTGGGTGAATCTCATGATTCCTGTAACAAACCTTGTCTAGTGGGATAAAGTTTTGTTGTTGTTGCTATATGTTGAGTACTTGAAGCTGTTTTCAGATGTTATTTTCCTCATGTTTTAAACTTAGCTGTAGCAAAATGGATATATTGTCATTGCATATTCTTGTGCGGTTGTATTTTATTTCATGCTAGATTCTTTTCTCTGAGATTCTAAGAACATAATTTATGTTGCAGGCTGCTGGTATAAATGGATTTCTATACTATGCTCCTCAGATTCTTCAGCAGGCAGGAGTTGGAGGTCTTTTGTCAAATTTGGGTATTAGTTCAACGTCTGCTACGTTACTCGTAAATGTCATTACAACATTCACCATGCTTCCTTGTATAGCTCTTTCCATGAGGCTCATGGATATTGCTGGCAGAAGGTGCGTTTAAACTAATAGATCCAGCTTAGATTCCCTTTTAGTATCTGTCTCATGCATGAAATGCTAGGAACCACAAACACTTGTACTGTAAATAAATATTTATAACTTTTAATTTTAAAACTTTTATATCAGAGAAAATTATAATATCATAATAAATAGTTTTTCAAAATATTTTAAAAATTATGTTAATTTTAGTTTAAGGATTGTGTTTAAACACATAAGTAATGAAGTTTTATTAGAAAATACAATTATTACGTTGATAAATGCTTTTTTTTAATATAAACTTATTACTTTTAGATTCTTAAACTAAACGATAAGAATTGAGGTTAGCTTTGTCCATATTATATTTCGTCTATAATGATTTATACTATTTTTTAAAACATAAAAATTCTTTCTACTTTTCGATGAATAAAGTCTTCTGTTGTTTTAAAGATTTTGCTAATTAATGCTCTAAGAAATATAATTTTAATGCATTATTAATTAAAAAAATATACATTAATGCATTAGAATTCATAGGAAATATACACTTTTAATAAAAAAAATATATAATTTTAATTCCTTAACTAGTATGTTAAGTAATTAGTTAAGATTTTTCTTTTGTTAATTTTAGATTAACTTTGTAAGCTATATTCTAACCATGACTTTTTTTTTTATTGTAAATTTATTGCATTGCTGTCTCATGTATTGATGGAATTGCTGTAGCTAGTTTACAAGGTTACAAATTCTACAATGTTCATAATTAATTTCTATGACATACTTGTTTCATTTCTTCTTATAATCTAGATATAGTGTCCTTTCCTACAACTGCAACATTTTCTCATTAACTTCTTATCTCGACAAATTTCCATTGTGTATTCTTCTGTGCCATATGGGCTATCTCATAAATCAAAAATCAAAATAAAAAAGCATTAAAATCATAACAATGGCATTGTATATTTTCTCATGACAGGTCAATAATGCTGTATACAGTACCCATTTTGATAGTGTCTCTCACGGTACTAGTTGTCCGGGACTCACTTCCCATAAATACGACACTCAGTGCAGCAATCACTGCTGTATGTGTTGTGGTGTACGAAAGCGTTTTCTGCATGGGTTTTGGTGTGATTCCCAACATCTTATGTTCAGAAATTTTCCCAACAAGTGTTCGTGGAATTTGCATTTCCATTTGTTCCCTTACATATTGGATCTGCACCTTAATTGTCACTTCTTCATTTCCCGTCTTGCTCCGTCTCCTTGGTCTTACTGGGGTCTTTGGATTATTTGTTGTTGGGTGCATCATTTCATGGATATTTGTCTACATGAAAGTTCCTGAAACAAAGGGCATGCCTTTAGAAGTCATCATTGAGTTCTTTGCCATTGGTGCAAAGCCTGAGTGAAATGTACTAATCCTTCTGCGTTTGGAAGCAAAAGCTGAATTCATACTCATATTGATTATCATCACAAGAACCAAGAAATGAAGCATTTATCAATGATAAATTTTGAAGTTTGGTTGGTTTGGATTCCCCTCCAATTGTCTGTTAAATTCTTTTGTTGGTGGAAGATTGAAACCATTTGATATTTGAATGCATAACGGCAAGTTTTTACTTGTCCTTGGAAGAGAAGACAGTATAATAATAATCCAAAATTCGTTTAGAGTTTAGACACAATGTAACTGTACTTAAAGAGTATTCATTCCTTGGACTTGGTATTTTCGTCACAATGGTATTCTCCAATAAATGTACCTGGGGATGAAGATTTTTGCATGCGGAAATGTTTGTTTGTTTACTAACTGTAGAGATTGCATTTTGGAAATTTTTTTTGCATAATCCAGAGTAACGTGCTCCCAACCAATAACAACATAATACATATGTATTTCTTTTTTAAAATTAAACACCTTGTCAAAACGTGAGTAGTCGAAATTACGTGATCTTGAATTACTTAAAAAATTCTTATATTTTAAAGGCTAAAACGTTATAAAAATATAGGAGAATTTATTAATTTGCAAAACAAATAAAATTGACTACAAGTCATAAATGTTTATATATTTAAAAATTTATTTAAATGCACGTCACAATACTCAAATAATATTTAACATCATAATCAATAAAATTCTTTCAACTTCGAAGCAAAGCTAACTAAGAAAAAGCCAAAACATAACTCTTTGTTACAATTGTTAAAGTATATACTAACATATATAAGCTACACAAGGTAATTAATTAAGAAACCCAATTCCCCGACTAAATCAACACAAAATGTGTTTTAAGAGGGGGACAACAAGTTGGAAAAAAAAGAAAAGAGAGAGGGACAATAGTGTGTGCGAGTTGAAGTGAGTTATAGATTGCCTTAAATCTATTTGTGTTATTGTTCGAGTGATACTAACTAATATGAAAATAATAAATACAGAAATGCACTAATTTAAATATAGCCGTAGAGATAATATAAAGGAGAAAATGGAATAAATTTATTTATTTTAATATAACTCTAATATCTCATATTTGTTAACTTTATACGTATAGTTTTCTACTTAGAATCTTTATTCCTTTGCGAATGATGCTAGGGTATGCTTAAGGGAAGTACGCTTATGCTTGACTTCAACAATGGTAAATAAAAGAAATTTAGGTTTTAAGAGATATATGTTTTCCTTTTGAAATTTGAATTGGTTTTTGCCTTCTCCACATCCAAGCCTTAAGCTTTCCACCCAAAACTTCTCCACGTTCTACACCTATACCATTTTCATCTTCCATTCTATTTGTCACTTCTAGGAGATCTCTAAGAGACGATGTTCTCCTTTACAAAGTGACGTTCCTCCGAAGTATATCAACATGAAGTTTTTCTTTCCTTTTCATTTAAGATTATGTATGCTTTATGTTTAATTTTTCTTGCTTTCAGTATTATATGTATAGCTAAATATCTTTTGCTGTTAGGGTTAAGGTGGATACTTGACTGAGGATTTAATTAACAGGTACAATTTACTTCATCTTCTTAGGACAATGCAAACAAATCAAAAATCAAATGGAGAAAATGATATTTAGAGAATTAGGGATTCAAATACTAGGAGTTAGAGGTCTTGATTTTGAAGTTAGAAATGAAGCAAACAAGATGTGAAGATTAATGGGTGTAAAGGGTTGAGATTCAACATTCTAAAAATAAAGATAGAGAGTGATATTTGGTTATTTGCAAATGAAAATAAGAAACTATCGAATTTAGGGCTCAAAAATAAGTGTGAGAGCAAAAATTTTGGTGCAAAATAATGATTTATTGTTAATTAGAGGTAAGGGTGAGTACTTTACACTACTTGTTACACAAACAAACATAGAGTCTCACCTTGCACTTATTTTACATCATTTCTAACACAATTCATAAAATATATTTACAGGCAATGATAAGTCTGTAATTAGGCCATCTTTTATAGCCATTTATTTATATTTGACCTTTATTTTTATTAGGTTTTATACTAATTTATTTATTAATTGTGCAATTTGATATAAAGAGGCCACGAGTAGATTTCGGGTTCATTCTAGGCTCAAATTAGAGTTGTCAATCAAGGTTGTAGCCCAGGACCCGGCCCTAAAAAAACCCATCCAGTCCTAACCCTGTGTTAAATAAGAAATAATAGTTAAGCCTCAAATTATATAATCTAAAATATATAGGCCAGGGTTGGGTTATTCATGGGTTGGCCCTGACCCTGCAATACTTCACACAATACGATTAATCCACTTTGTCTTTGCTAAGAACTTTGTCTTTTTTTCTCTAAATTACAAGAACACTAATCCCCTTTCTCTAAATCACACAGAGATTGAAGGGGCTAATGCAATAGATTTTCACAGATTCTCAGATTCGCAGATTTCATAGATTCGTATATTTCACACATAGATGTAAGTGGCTCCTCCAACACTTCTCAGATTCGTAGCTTTTTGCAAGAGGTGGTCATTCAATATTTCTCAATTCATAGATCAAGGTAATAGTTACTTTGCAACTCCATGCAAGGAGCTCCAGCTTTTTGTGGTCATTCTTTACTTATTATACCTTTTTGCAAATTTCTTAACAAAGAAAAACTTGATTTCAGTATAGTTCACGGCTTGTCTTGCATGTGTCATTCTTTGCAGGTGTTGTGTTTGTTAGTGTGTTTTTTTTGTGTGTGTGTTTTTATGGGTATTTCGTAACTTGAGAGAGTAATTGCTTATCTATTATTATGTCTTGTCGAATTGCAGCTTCTGATGATCTTTTGAATTTTGTTTCTGAAAATAGGAAAGTAGGCACTATTAATAATTTGACCTCGAGAAGAACCAATCGTGTAATGCTCTATTTCATTAGTTATCTTTATTATCGTATTTGTTGTTGTTATTTGTCGTCTTATTATTATCATTATTATTGTGCTTGAATTTGATGGGGACTATTTCAAAATCATCCTTCCTCTCATTTTGCAGGAAAGGTTTGGTGACATTTTTTTTCCTTGCTAATTCTTAGTAGAATGGTTCAATTTGGCTCCTAAATTCTTGGAAATTTCGTAATTTTTCTCTTTTTAAAAAATTTTATTTGACGTGGATTGTGGAGACTACCATTGATAGGCATGTCTGGGCTTTTGTCTATAATTTGTCATTCATAGACTACCATTTAATTTTGTTTGTTTGTTTGTCCCTCTATAATTAACTAGTGACTCTCAATTATTGAATTTGAATCCAACAATGGTGGCAGAGAAATGTCACTGTAAGCATCAGTTTGTATAAAATTGGTGATGTGATTCTATTTTAATTATATTTGTGAACAAATGGAAATGGTGAGAAACTGATACAATTTAATAATGTAAACTAATCCAAATCCAACCATTGTTTGTGGCCCGCGAAATTGTTATTTATTTGTAACTATATATACGAAGCCTTAGACTTTCTTAATTTTTTTTATCAAATAATTCAATTACCTTATTGATAAAAAAAATATATCTTTATTTGTATAATTACAGAGACAAAATTGGGTTAAAAAGGAAAAAATCCAGATTTGCACCAATGGTCTGAAATTCAATTCTCTCACCATAAACCTGTTCAATGTCTTTGATCCTCACCAAAACTCTGCTAGAATTGGTCTAAGCTTCTGTTATTATAGGTTTGCAATTGTTTGTATATTATGCACCAGTCCTTATTTTTATACTTGATTATTTCTTTCTTACTGAGATTATGTGAAAGTATAGTTTGTAATTTAAATTGTAAAAGTATAGTTTCTAATTTTTATTTTATGTTTGTTTTAATGCATAGGAACTATAAATTATATAATGGATTCTATGAATAAGACTGTGAATATAGATGATAAAGTTGTTTTTGAAACTCCTTCTGTATTATCTGGAAGTGTCGAGACACCGAAGAAACACTTTTCAAATGTTTGAAAATATTTTACTAAAACTGGTGTAGATAAGGATGGAGTTGAAAAAGCTGTGTGCAAATATTGTGGCCATGATTATGCTATTGGAAAAAATCCCAAGACAAAAAATCATTATGGAACTTCACATTTAAGTCGACATGTTTCAGTTTGTAAAAATATTCAACGTTCAAGTGTAGATGCAATTCCTACTCAAGACGTAAGTTTTGGTGCGAGTATGATATGATCAGAGAATGGATCAATTATGTGAATCCTAATGTTGTAATGCCCTCTAGGAATATTGTTATGTCAGATGTTCAAAAAATTTACATGAGAGAGAAGGAAAAACTCAAAGAAGTCATGTGTAATATTCCTAATAGAGTATGTCTGACCTCTGATGTTTGGATAGCAGCTACGAGTGAAGGTTATATTTGCTTAACTGTTCATTTTGTTGATGAGAACTGGAGATTAGTAAGTAAGATTCTTAATTTTTATCGAATGAAACCACCTCACACTGGAATTGAATTAGAAGCCACTTTATTTGATTGCTTGAAGCAATGGGGAATTGATAAAAAAGTTTTCTCTATTACCTTAGATAATGCTTCTGCCAATGACAATGTGCAAGATATTTTGAAAAATCATCTTCGTGTGCAGAATAGTTTGTTGTGTGATGGAGAATTTTTTTCATGTGCGTTGTTCTACTCATATACTCAATTTGATTGTACAAGAGGGTCTAAAAGTAATTAATGAAACACTTTTTAAAATTAGAGAGAGTGTTAAGTATGTGAGAGGATCTGATGGAAGGATGATTAAATTTCAAGATTGTGTGCAAGATGCTGGAATAGACATAACAATTGGGTTAAGATTAGATGTTTCTACTAGGTGGAATTCAACATACTTAATGCTTGAAAGTGCAATCAAGTATGAAAAAGCTTTTGATATTCTTCAGGTGGTTGATAGAAATTATAAATATTGTCCATCATATTAGGAATGGAGGAAAGGACAGAAATTATGTGAATTTTTAGAGCCGTTTTATGAGACTACAAATATGGTTTCTGGTTCTTGTTATCTGACTTCAAACTTATATTTTATGCAAGTTTGGAAGATTGAATGCTTGTTGAATGAATATTTATTGAACGAAGATGATGTTATAAAGGATATATGGCTGTAAGAATGAAAGGAAAATTTGAAAAATATTGGAAGAATTATTGTGTGTTGTTAGCTTTTGGAGCTATTCTTGACCCTCGTTTAAAGCTTCATTTTTTAAGATTTTTCTATACCAAGCTTGATCCTTTAACCTCTCATGAGAAGGTCAACAATGTGAAGGATAAGTTTGATAAGTTTGATAAGCTTTATGGAGAATATGCAAACAATTTTAGTGCTACAAGTAGTTCTCAACCTTCCAATGAATCCAATTTGTTGTCAAAGTCACATGGAGATGGAAATAGGTCAAAGAAATCAAGATTGTTCAATGTATGTTCTTTTATGTCATTTTAATTATAGTGTGTTTCTTATTTTTATTTTGTTTAAAGGGTTATTATGTTATATTTTGCAGGAGTTTAAAATGTTTCAAAATGAAACTAAGTCTACCATTGGTAAGAGTGAATTGGATTTGTATTTGGATGAGTCACAAGTTGACTATGATGATACTGAAGAATTTAATGTGCTTTATTATTGGAAAAGTAATGAAAAGAGATTTCTAACACTCTCTGTATTAGCACGAGATGTGCTTAGCATTCCAATCACTACAGTAGCATCAGAATCTGCTTTTAGCATTGGTGGACGTGTTCTCACTAAATATAGAAGTTCTACACTTCCAGAAAATGTGTAAATGTTAATTTGTGCTAGGAATTGGTTGCATGGCTTTGTTGAAAGTCCAAGTGGTAATATTTATTCTAATCACATTTTATGATTATTATATAATTTGTACAAACATAATTCTATTCTTATTGTTTTTGAGTTTTAGATAATGATGAGACAAAAACTCTAGAGTCTAGTATGCAACAAGATATTGAAGACTAACAAGCAAGTGAAGTATAAATCTACTAAGTATAATCTTCCTCATCAACCGCCCAGGTTTCAATTTCTTTCCTTGCTTTTCTATTTGCTTAAACATTTCTCCAGGTTTCAATAAGTATAGTATGGAGTTCCTTTCATATGTTTTCACCTCCTTTACTTGCTAAAGCCATTTTTTATGCAGTGCAAAAGCAACTTATAGTTTTCTTGCATTATTGAAGACTGAAGAAATTATCACTGGCTTTTATTGAAGTGTCTCAAATCTAGTTGAACATACACCTTTGTTAGATGGAGGTGCTATTCTGACTAGGTGCATATTAGGAAACACAAATTTGGAGATTGTTAATCTAATTTTTTCAGAATTTTAATCTAATTTTTCCACAATAGTTACAATTTTGATTGACTATAATTATTAATCTTTTGTTGCTTTAACTAGATTATCTTTTACAATTTCTTGATTTGAACATGGGAGCTTAAAATTGTTTTGGAACTAAAATCACAATGGCTATGCAACTAAAATTCATGTATCAATTATATTTTGCTTAACTGTGATTGCCTTTCTTATAGGTACTCAAGGCTGGTAGGTAAACACGAAGCTGTCAATTCTTATCCTTGTAGTGGTAAAAGTATATCCCGCTTATCTTTTTTGTTGGTCTGACTGCAACTTGAATGGTGAAATTAACTTTGTGATATTCAATCAATTGTATGATATCAATATTCGACGTATTGTGTATATTTTGAAATGCATCCACTTTTTATCTACACTGGACCTTGGCACTCTTTAATTTGGCAAAATTGTTGATATGCTATTTTTTTTGTAATGATTTATTTTCAGTATCTTGGAACTGCAAATTATTGTACTTTCTTAGGTGGTGTTCAATTTGGTTATGTTTCGTCCATTTGTGTAATAGTTAATTATGAAATTAAATTTGAGTTGGAAACTTGCAATTATTAAAAAAAATTTGGTCCTTGAAGCCCTGGCCCATTGGGCTTTTTAGCCTATAGGGCTTTTGATTTATAGGGCTTTTTACTTTTTGACAGCTCTAGCCCAAATGAATGGGTTTAAAAGCCTCACAGCAATAAGCACGGGGGTGCTTCGACAATATGCACGACCGTGCTGAATCATCATGCACAGTCGTGCTGGTTCGCATTAGCCAAACTTGCCTAGTTTAAAGGAGTTCAAATTCTATAAATAGAGAGGAGGAGGATCGTAGAAAGGATCTTAATTTTTCCCTGAGCATCATTTCACATAAGGCCCTTCAAGATTCTTGATCACTTTCACCTCTCTTGCACGGACCTTTGGCACACCCTTGGCGACACTTGGAGATTCAAGTGACCATACTTGAAGACCAAAGATTCATCTCTTGTTCTAGTTTGCTTTTCTCTTCATTATTAATATGTTATTGATTATTTCAGCTTTTTCTTTCTATATAAGTAGCTAAATCCATAGCTAGGGCTATGGGAATTATTGTTCATGACTTTATGGAATTTTGATATTTGAATCTAAATTTGATTTCCGCTTCGTGATTAGAATTTATCTTATCATTTCTCATTCTTAACCCTAATTAATTACATCGTCAGGCGATCGTACCTCGGTTAATTAATAGATCTATAGGATAAAACGAGATAAAAAGATTAGGTAGATCAAACTAATCTTCATCTTCTAATCGTTATTGAATTAATAAATTCATAGGCTCCTTAGGCTTTTTCTAAATTGATAACTCACATAACCATTGGGGATATTAACTTAGAGAAAAGAATATGAATATTGCATGACCAGTGGATATTAATAGTATTAGTATGAATGATTAGTAATCATCAGGAAATCAGATTTATATCTAAATAGAAAAATAACATAAAGGATTGAATGAGAACACTCATACGCCTTAAGTTTCTCTCTGATAAGTGTAACCAATACGTGCTCTGTGTTTCTTGCTCTTAGTTTTTACAATTGATTTTATAAATTCTCGTTCTGATTAATCTCGCATATTTGAAGCTTAAATAATTAAATTAGGAAAACTCTTAGTAGTTGATAAACAATCCTTGTGGGACGATATTTCGGGAACTTAGTTGAAAACCATTTATTACTTCTCGATGGGTACACTTGCCCTCCAAACAAGTTTTTGGCACCGTTGCTAGGGATTGCTTTTTCAATATTAAGAAAATTCTCAAATTTAATTGATTTGAGCAACTTGTGTTTTGTTTTATTTTGTTCTGTTCATTGTTAAAATTTTCTTTTATATTTTTATAATTTTCTTATTTATTTTATTTTCATTTTGTTTAAAATTACTTTTGATGTATGTTCACTCGTTCTAAGTGTTTTACAGCTTATTTGTTTGATCCGAAAATTGAAAGGACAGTTCGTAGACAAAGAAAAGAAGTGAGAGAGTAAAGAATGGCAGAGGGAAGGAGATCGATTTAAGATTACATGACACCCAATGCCAGAGGCACTCCTGGAAGCATCGCGGCACCTAATGTGGAAGCAAACAATTTTGAGTTGAAACCAGCACTCATAACCATGGTTCATAACTCCATACAATTTGGGGACTTGCCTAACAAAGACCCCAATCTACATCTGACAAAGTTCCTCCGATTGATAGACACCATAAAATACAACGGAGTCTCCAATGATGCTATTTGACTCTGCCTGTTCCCATTCTCAGTGTCCGAAAGAGTAAATGCATGGTTTTCCTCACTCCCAGCCAATTCTATCACAACTTGGGAGGATCTCACTCAACACTTCTTGGGAAAGTACTTTTCTCCATAAAGATCTTCTAAGCTGATGACAGAAATATGTTGCTTCCAGTAGAATGAGACATAATCACTGTTCGAGGCGTGGGAGCAATTCAGGGAATTATTGAGAAGATGCCCACATCATGACTTTCCAACTTGGAGGCAAATGCAGATCTTTTACAGTGGCCTATCCATCCATAACAAGGCCACGATTGATGCCACTGCAGGAGGATCTCTTATAAGGAAAGACCCAGATGACGCATACAAATTGATAGACGAAATGGCATATGCTAGCTTTCAGTAGCACACAGCTGACACATATAACTTCAAGAGAAAAGAAGCTGCACCAGTCTATCAAGCAGAGAGCAACAACCCACTGGTAAAACAAATGGAAGCTCTCACAAAGCAATTGGAGTGCTTAATGAGAGCACAAGATCAACCCACAAAGTCGGCGCATAATATAGAGTTTGATCACGAGGAGGCAAACTTTATGGGTAATAATTATAACCCACGATGGCGCAATAGTAATACAACTCCTTGGGGAAGTCGCCAAGGAAATCAGAATGCGCCCTATCGACCCCCTCCATGTGCAAAATCAAGGGGAGAAGATAGAAAGAAGAGAAGCTCCTAGATTTTAATCCAATTTTCAAGAACAGATGATGCAATACGTGCATAGCTCTGACAAGAGAATAGCAAAACTTAAGGCCCAGATAGAACAACAGATTGAGAGGGAAGATAAGAGGTTTGCAAAAATCAGAGCTGAGATGAGGACTCAGTCTTCAAAGCTTGAATCTCAGTTGGAGCAAATCACTAGTCTCCTCAGTCAAAGAGTACTAGGAGCACTACCATCCCAATCAGAACCGAATCCTAGGGAACAAGCTAAGGCAATCACTTTAAGAAGTGGGAAAAACTTGAATGGAACGCAAACATAGAAGCCGTGCACGCCTGTGCTTGTTGATCAGCACGCCCTTGCATCACCTTGTAGGCCCATGTTGGCTCAACAAGAATGGCCGTGCTTTGAACAGCATGCCCATGCTGACAACGAATGCACGACCGTGCTTATCGAAGACACGGCCGTGCTAGATGATGAGCAAGGTCGTGCTTGCCAACTAGATACGAAGAAAGAAGCAAAGGAAGATGTATTCGTGATACCAAGGCCGAAAGTTCCATTCCCACAACGGTTGATGGGTAACCAGAGAGACCCTCAGTTCAATAAGTTTCTTGGGATCCTCAGAAAGCTCCACATCAATATCCCTTTTGTTGAAGCCATCTCACAGATGCCTAAATATGATAAATTCCTCAAGGAGATGCTAAGCAATAAGAAGAAATTGGAAGTATTCGAGACAGTCAGATTGAATGAGGAGTGTTCAGCAATATTACTAAGAAAGTTGTCGCCTAAGCTTAAGGATCTAGGGAGTTTTATGATTCCATGCACTATAGGCAACTCTCATTTTGATAAAGCGCTATGTGATCTAGGCGCTAGTATTAATCTAATGCCATTTTCTGTGTTTAGAAGGTTGGGTATGCAAGAACCCAAACCAACTTCAATTTCTTTGCAGCTTGCTGATCGCTCGATAACATATCCTAGGGGCATAGTGGAGGATGTCCTGGTCAAGGTAGATAAGTTCATATTCCCTGCAGATTTCATTGTCCTTGACATGGAAGAGGATGACAAAGTACCTATCATACTAGGAAGGCCTTTCCTAGCCACAGGAAGAACAATAATAGATGTTCAGCAGGGGAAGCTTACATTAAGATTGAATGATGAGGAAGTAGTATTTAAAGTTTTTAATTCACTCAAGCATCCATCCACTTTTGATTCTTGTAATTTTGTGACAACTGCAGATGCTACCTCCCTCTCCCTGAATGTGCCACAGGTGCAAGATGAATTAATAAAAGATGCATTGGAGAGGATACTTACATTGGAAAGGAGGGATCTGCACAACACTGAAGAAATAATAGATGAGATCTTAGCATTGAACAATGGGGTGCTTAGAAGATGGTTCGGGTGAAGGATATTTGAAGATCTAAGAGAACACTCTCGAAAAAGAACCAAGCCATCAATCGAAGAACCTTCTGAACTAGGACTCAAACCTCTTCCCTCGAATCTTAAATATGCCTTTTTACACCCTCCATCTCACTTACCTGTAATTGTTTCTGCCAATTTGACAAGTAGCATGGAGGAGAAGCTTCTGAGAGTACTGAGAGAGAACAAGGAGGCTTTCCGGTGGAGCATAAATGACATTAAGGGCATTAGTCCTTCCATATGCACTCATAGAATTCACCTGAAGGAGGAGTTCAAACCAAAAGTACAACCCCAAAGGCGATTAAATCCTAATCTGAAAGAAGTAGTGAAAAAGGAGGTAATTAAGTTATTGGATGTCGATATTATATTCCCAATCTCTGATAGCCCTTGGGTGAGTCCTGTGCAGGTGGTACCAAAGAAAGGAAGGACTACTGTTATGCAAAATGAGCAACAAGAGCTCATCACAATCAGAAAGGTAACCGGATGGAGGATGTGTATTGACTACAGGAAGCTTAATGAAGCCACCAGGAAGGATCACTTCCCTCTACCCTTTATTGATCAGATGTTAGAGAAGTTAGTTGGGCATGAATATTACTGTTGTTTATATTGCTATTCTGATTATATGCAAATACCCATAGCTCTTGAAGATAAAGAAAAAACTACTTTTACATGTCCCTATGGTACATTTGCATATAAACAAATGTCGTTTGGATTATGTAATGCCCCTGTTACCTTCCAAAGGTGTATGATGGCTTTATTTTTCAAATTTGTTAGAGCATTTGTATTGAAATCTTTATGGATGATTTTTCTGTATATGACACCACATTTGATAGTTGTGTACATAACTTGAATTTAGTTTTGCAGAGATGCAGGAAAGCCAATTTGATTTTAAATTGGGAGAAGTGTCAGTTTATGGTTGATGAATGCATTATTTTGGGGCACAAAGTGTCAGGAAAATGTATTGAAGTAGACCCTGCCAAGATTGAGATTATTTCTAAACTACCTCCCCCTACAAGTGTCAAGACAGTCAGGAGTTTTCTAGGGCATGCTGGATTCTATAGGAGGTTTATACAAAACTTCTCAAAAATATCAATGCATTATTTTGGGGCACAAGGTGTCAGGAAAAGGTATTGAAGTAGACCCTGCCAAGATTGAGGTTATTTCTAAACTACCTCCCCCTACAAGTGTCAGGGCAGTCAGGAGTTTTCTAGGGCATGCTGGATTCTATAGGAGGTTTATACAAAACTTCTCAAAAATATCAAAACCCCTTTCTGAATTATTGGCTAAAGATGTAGAGTTTAAATTTGATGAAACATGTTTATCTGCTTTCATGAAATTAAAAGAGAAATTAACAATTGCTCCTGTGATTGTGGCCCCTGACTGGTCTTTACCTTTTGAGCTAATGTGTGATGCTAGTGATGCAACGATGGGAGCAGTTCTGGGACAAAGGCGAGATAAGGTGTTTCAGGCCATTTACTATGCAAGTAAAACCTTGGACGATGCTTAGTGTAATTACACCGTTACAGAGAAGGAATTACTTGCTGTTATCTTTGCATTTGATAAATTTCGTTCTTATTTGATAATGTCCAAAGTTGTTGTCTTTATTGACCATTCTACCATTAAGTATTTGTTGTCAAAACAGGATGCTAAACCAAGGATTATACGGTGGATCCTTCTCCTCCAAGAGTTTGATGTGGAGATTAGAGACAAAAAAGGAAGTGAGAATGTCGTAATAGATCATTTGTCTTGACTGGATGCTTCAGTAAGGGAACTCACGGTGAAGGAGATCAAGGATTCTTTTCATGATGAAAGGCTCCTCTCAATCTCTAAGGCACTTTGGTATGAGAATTTTGTAAATTATCTGGCGGGTAATGTAACTCCTAAACTACTTGACAAGCATACGCTTAGAAAGTTTTGGTCTGATGTGAAGCATTATATTTGGGATGAACCTTATCTCTTTAAGATTTGTGGGGACAATATGATTAGGAGGTGTGTTTCAGAGAGTGAAGTTAATGAGATTCTTAACCATTGCCATTCTAGGGAGGTGGGAGGTCATTGTGGCCCATCAAAAACCGCTCATAAGGTCCTGCAGTGTGATTTTTATTGGCCTAGTTTGTTTAAAGATGCTCATTTATATGTTAAGTCATGTGATATGTGTCAAAGAAGTGGAAATATATCTAGGAAACATGAAATGCCTCTTAGTAATATCTTAATTTGTGAATTATTTGATGTCTGGGGCATAGACTTCATGGGGCCTTTCCCCAAATCCATGCATAATGAATGTATATTAGTAGCTGTTGATTATGTTTTACCCACCAATAATACTCGAGTTGTGATTAAATTTTTAAAGAAAAATATTTTCACTAGATTTGGCACCCCTAGAGCTATTATTAGTGATGGTGGCACCCATTTTTGCAATAAACAATTTGAAGCTCTTTTGACAAAATATGGTGTTACCCATACGGTGGCCACTCCTTATCATCCCCAAACTAGTGGACAAGTTGAGATATCTAATTAGGAATTGAAAAGAATTTTAGAGCGCACTGTTAACAACTCCAGGAAAGATTTGTCTCTGAAATTGGATGATGCACTCTGGGCCTATCGCACTGCTTTCAAAACCCTATTGGTATGTCTCCTTATCGTTTGGTTTTTGGTAAAGCATGTCACTTACCAGTTGAGCTTGAACACAAGGCCTACTGGGCCTTGAAGTTCCTAAATTTTGATTCACAGGTCACAGGTGAAAAGAGATTGTTGCAGCTAAATGAATTGGATGAATTACGTTTTGAAGCATTTGAAAATGCTAAGTTATACAAAGAGCGTACTAAGAAGTGGCATGATAAACACATTTATCATAGGAGTTTTCAAGCAAGTGATAGGGTTTTGATCTATAACTCTCGGTTGCGACTATTTCCTGGAAAATTGAAATCCAGGTGGTATGGCCCCTACAATTTGGTCAAGGTTCTTCCATACGGAGTACTAGAAGTGTCCAAGCATCGAGAAGAACCCTTTTGTATCAATGGGCTGAGAGCGAAGGTGTATATAGAGAATGTGACCCCTCCTGGTCACACGATAACACTTGACTAGCCCAGGCAAGATGTCAGGCTTGCGACATTAAACAAGTACTTCCAGGAGGCACCTTGTGTTATGTTTTCTTAATTATGTCTCTTTTCTTATTTTTATTTTTATTTTATTTTAAGCTTTTATTGTTTTTACACATAATGAAGAGGGTAGACGAGTGATGCACGGTCGCGCTTTCATACAGCACGACCGTGCTCAATGAGAACATGGGCGTGCCTCACTTGAACACGCCCATGTCAGAAAAGGCTATTTGGGCGTGCTTTTATTAAACAAGCACGACCGTGCTCGAATATGCACGGGCGTGCCTCTGAGCAGAATTTGAAAAATAAAAAGGGGGAGGGGTGCACAGAACATGCACGCCCTTTTCTTCCCCAAAAACAAAGCACTCCCACCTCCCTTATTCTTTTTGAGCATCCATTTCGGTCTCTTCCTTCTAAACTTTCTTGGGCTTCAGGTAATTCAGGTACGATTTTATGCATTTATCCTATTTCATATTGGTAAGCACTTCTTAATTATGTAGAAATTTTTAATTCTGAAATTCTTGCTTCTGTGTAATAAGCACGACCGTGCACATGAACAACACGACCGTGCATATGAACTAGGGTTCCAACATGGTCGTGCTTGTCACATGCATAGGCGTGCTCTATTTACATGCACGACCGTGCTGATTAAAGAGAACGGCCGTGCATGTGCACAAGACTAATGTGCTCTCTATTTTTCATGCGGAGAATGCCTCTTAAAAGAGCTCGTTAAGGCACCTCCACTGTGCCAACAGCTTACGAAATTCAGTTTCGAGGTGACCAAGGTGCAGTAGCAAGATACCTCAAGCGCCTGGACACGTTACTAGGATTCAAGTTCCTCCCTATATGCTATCTGGACGAGAATGTTCTTCACGAACATGGTCTTTGGGAGGACGTCTCTAGGTACATTGCAGCCATAGGATGGGAGGGCGTCCAGACTGTGCGAGCACCAGCATACAGGGAGCCAATCTTGGAGTTCCTGAGTTTTGTCATATACACCGACGACTTACGGGTGCATTTCTGCATGACCACCCAGCGCGACATGACGTTGGCACAGTTCAACGTCCACTGCCTATTTGAGACAGAGGAGTCAGTCCAAGCAGAAGCATATAGAGAGGCATTGGTAGAGATTACTCCAGGCTATTCTGAGGACACAACTTGGCAGGAGATTACTGGCACTTGTGACGTCTACAGAGCCCGACTCGCGAAAAGCACAGCCATTCGAGACCCAACTCTGCGTTCTATTTTTGCACGTAGCCAGAGCACAGGTAATCTTAGCTCTCACCACCTGTTCATTTTGTGGTGCATGCTTTACCAGCGTCGCGTCAATGCTGGGAAATTTCTTCTACTATCATGCATGGGCCTAGGAGCACGTATGAGCACCGCGAAGAGTGGCTACATCTGTGTCGGGTCCTTCATCTCTCAACTCGCCCCCAACCTTCAGCGAGTACACCGGAGAGACACGAGGATTGCTGAGATGACCCTACTGACTGCGGACACGTTCTACAGGATGGGTATCTTAGTTCGAGCAAGAAATGGGGAGTTCGTACTGGCCCCACCCCTTGCACCCGCCAGAGAGGAGCCAGCAGTACCTGAGCAGCAGCCTGAGCCTCCTCTTGCTGACGAGGATGGTGAGTTTCATGACGCTCCAATGGAGCCACCCTCATCCCTTGCTTCTGCTCACCATCCAGATCTACAACAGTCGCACCAGCATATCGATGAGAGGATGGATAGGTACGAGACTCAGCATGCTGAGTATTCTGCATCGATCCATCAGCGCCTTGACCAGCAGGAGACCCATATCGCAGAGTTGCTCTACTTGTTCCAGCATCATTTCCCCCCTCCCCGGTGACTTATGAGTTTCATGATTTCTTTTATGTCTTTTCTTTTAGTTTAACATCTATTTTTCTTATTTTTATTTCATTTCATGCACTTGAACTCTAGTTTCTTTTATATATTTGCCACTGTAAGCTGGTCTACTACGTGGGTATTTTGTCTCCATATCATTGCAAATATTCGGAGGTCAACACTATGAGCATTATCAAACGCCCGATTCTACCAGGCAGTATTTTTCCTTTTTCTCTTATCTTTAATTTTTTATTTTATTTATTTATTTTCAAACATAGAGGACCATGTTTTGTTTTAAGTATGGAGGAGTAGTTCCTAATTATGATTGTTATTGCATGTTCTATTGAGTGAAGTGTCTATGCTATTTTGTGATAATTTAAAACTTTTTTTTTCTCTCATGGAACCCAATTCTTCTAGATAGAAGAACATGTTGAGTAATTATTATCGGCATTATACTTTCATTAGGAAACTAATAATTAGCTAAGTTTCTTACTTTTATACTCCACATTAAAATTTAACCCACAGATGTGAGTTTTGAGTCTAAAAAGGGGATTTCTATCTTAATTTAATTAATTTTATCCTTTTCTTCATTGTTTTGTGTGATTATCTCCATAAGATTTGTACTCTAGAACTTGACTTGGAACCGACTTAAGACTTCTTTGTTAATTGCATGTTTTTAATGTGATTGAGGCATAATATGATTTTTATTCTTGGCTTCCCGCATGTTTGAGATATAACTAGTTGTCCACTTTGAGCTTTATTGATTTTTCTTGGTCCCTTGCATTAAATTTATAGAATGTTTTGATGACCTTGAGTTTATGAATGGAGCAATTGAGTTGTTGAATTGTTTGATAAATTCTCCTCTATATCTTTCATATGCAAAAAGAAAGAAAGTATGAAAAAGAAAAAAAAAAGGTTATACATGATTGAAAGGAGATAGGAGTAAAGATATTGTCTATATACAAAAATATAAAAAAAAATTACTCCAAGAGCTTCATTTGTAAACTTAGGGGATGTTTATAAATTTTATAATTTATTACCCTTTTGTATATTCCCTTCCTTTCATTTATCTCACCTCAATTATTATAACCCCTTGGCCACATTATAACCTAAAAAAAACCTCATGATTTTTACTTGCATTTAATTTATGTAGTGGAGAGTCGGTTTATAGTCAAGCCTATGGTAGTATACTTTTTAGGAGATTTGAGTGATATCTCATTTGTCCCTTAGTGAGAGAGGAAAGCAGTGTACCTTAGTTTGATGTTTGCGTGAAAAGTATAGAAATATAAGATTCTAATTGGAAATCCTTTTGATTGTTTAAAGCTCGGTGATATTACTCTTGTTCTCTTTATCTCCTTTATCTCGGGTTCCTTGTGAGGTATTATGTTTTAAATTATTATGTATTTTCTTAACTAGTACTTTGTTTGAGGACAAGCAAACAGATAAGTATGGGGGAGTTGATAAGTTTGTAATTAGGCCCTCTTTTACAGCCATTTATTTATATTTGACTTTATTTTTATTGGATTTTATACTAATTTATTTATTAATTGTGCAGTTTGATATAAAGAGGCCACAAGTAGATTTTGGGTTCATTTTGGCCCAAATGAATGGGTTTAAAAGCCTCACAGCAATAAGCACGCTCAATGAAGCACAGGGGTGCTTCGACAATATGCACGACTATGCTGAACCATCATGCACGGCCGTGCTGGTTCGCGTTAGCCAAACTTGCCTAGTTTAAAGGAGTTCAAATTCTATAAATAGAGAGGAGGAGGATCGTAGAAAGGATCTTAATTTTTCCCTGAGCATCATTTCACATAAGGCCCTTCAAGATTCTTAATCACTTTCACCTCTCTTGCACGGACCTTTGGCACACCCTTGGTGACACTTGGAGATTCAAGTGATCATACTTGAAGATCGAAGATTCATCTCTTGTTCTAGTTTGTTTTTCTCTTCATTATGGATATGTTATTGATTATTTCAGCTTTTTCTTTCTACATGAGTAGCTAAATCCATAGCTAGGGCTATGGTAATTATTGTTCATGACTTTATAGAATTTTGATATTTGAATCTAAATTTGATTTCCGCTTCGTGATTAGAATTTATCTTATCGTTTCTCATTCTTAACCCTAATTAATTACATCGTCAGGCAATCATACCTCGGTTAATTAATAGATCTATAGGATAAAACGAGATAAAAGATTACGTAGATCAAACCAATCTTCATCTTCTAATCGTTATTGAATTAACAAATTCATAGGCTCCTTAGGCTTTTTCTAAATTGATAACTCGCATGACCATTGGAGATATTAACTTAGAGAAAAGAATATTAATATTGTATGACCAGTGGATATTAATAGTATTAGTATGAATGATTAGTAATCATCAGGAAATTGGATTTAAATCTAAATAGAAAAATAACATAAAGGATTGAATGAGAACACCCATACACCTTAGGTTTCTCTCTGATAAGTGTAATTAAGACGTGCTCTGTGTTTCTTGCTCTTAGTTTTTACAATTGATTTTATAAATTTTCATTCTGATTAATCTCGCATATTTGAAGCTCAAACAATTA